ATCTTGAGCTTCACATCGCGACGAACGCTTTTCATCTTTGGGCCCAAAGCTGAGGGGTGCACAGAACCCTGCCTCGCGCATCTGCACCTTCAGCCTGCTGAGTGACCCCACTGAACAGCAGCTACGAGGAGCAAGGACTAAAACTGACCCTATCCCAGTATTTTAAAATTGAACACCAGGCTGGACACCAAAGAAAATCACATGAATAAAGAGAATGGAAGCGTTGATAGCTGCCACCATGTTTTAACAGGCCATGCCAGAACAAACACTGGCTGGGTTTGAGTCCACGGGATGAATAAAAATAACGTTGCCAAGCATGCTGAAAATGACAAACTTAAAATGCCAAAAATGATTATTATGTTAATGATTGCTACAAAAAAAAAAAGTAACATTTTCCTAAGTTTTTTTGCTGCATAGCACAAACTCCACCTGAAAGAATCTGCTCCTCCTCAGATTTTACCTTTGAAAATAAAAGAGGTTGAGCAAGGGGAGAAAGAACAATAAGCAAGAGGAAAAAGCTGCAAATTTGGAAGTGAAAGAGTTAACGTGTTTTGTTTCAGTCGGTATTATACCAACGCCAGAATTACAAGGGAAGGACTAAAAAGAGCCAAATTTTTTTTATTATTATTCTTTAAAACAACAACAAAAAAAATCAGGCCTATCTGTCACAGGGTTGTCCGGGCTGGAAGAACCGGCAGGAACCTCAAATTCCTGACCAAACCCTCTTCCACACAATGCCTCCTGAATGGAAGGAACCCAGGCCCGGCAGAGATAGCCTGCTGTCAGGAACCAGCCCTGACGTGTGCGGACAGACGGGGCTGGCCTCGCAGGATGTCAGAGCGGCAAACTGCTGCTCAAGATACTGGGTTTTCACACACTCCCAGCCTGGATGTTTTGCTCTTCAGGTAATTAAACAAGGAAACGGGGGCCGACGTGTACGAGTCTGACCCCTGCACCCCTGCGCCGCGGCTCCGCGGTTCTGCATATCGACTTCCGCACCGACCGCCTGGAGCATCAACAGAGCCCTCCACTCCAGCTCCGACACCAAGCTCTAAAACAAATCCTTCTGGAAATAGCTGATGCTGTCTATTCCTTTTCTTGCCTTTTTTTTTTTTTTCCTATTTAAGAAGGGCTAAATTACTTGCTCTGGTCCACACACCTTGCTGCTTTCTCATAAAAAGGAGGAAGAAAGGAAAGAAATGGGTACTTTTGGGTAGCTGTTCTTCAGCCAGCCATTCAAAATATTAAATAACTGGGGGAGGGAAGGAATGCACAGAAAGATGAGGCAAGGGATTCCCGAATTACTGCTTATGTTAAGGTCATCACTCAAAATGAAAAAGATCCTGGAAAGTATTTCTGATTCATCCAACCAACTGCCAGACATTCACTTATTCAGAAATAAAATTATCCTTATTTAAGCATTATTGAAGAGTCTTTGTCTTACAAGACAACATAAACCAGAGAACAGGGCATTACAAAAATAGATCAGAGTTTTCTTTCTCTTTGTCCCCAAATTTAAGGAATGGTAAACGGCAGGTGTTACCACCTAACACTCGGTGAAAACCCTACACAGGCTGCTCTATGACTGACCTAGTTTCTACGCTCTTTAAAGGCTATTTAAACAAAAATGATTTTTTTAAAAAGGTAACACATTCCTACTTCTTTCTGAAAAATCCACAGAATAGAATATCGGCTGAAAAGAGAAGAGCCCAGAAGAAAGAGGAGTACAAAAGCATGCCTGCTTGTCTGTGTTCAACACAAAGAACATTAAATGAAAACAACTGGCACGCCGCCAAATTCCTATACAGGCAAAGAGATTCAAATAAATTGATTTCACGCATCACACTGACCTGGGATCAGTGAGCAGTGGTACAATACACTCACTGCTCCATGTGGGGCAAAGCCCATTAACGTTATCAGAGCCTCAGTACATTACCAAGGGCGGGGGGGGAAAAACCCAAACTCTGCAAACTCAGGGGGAAAAAAAATCACTTTGAAAACAGTCCTTCAGCTCCAGCTGGAGTGTTGGGTTTCAGTTTACTAATAAATATATCATATTGTGAGAGCGTGTCCTCTGCTCACCTCGAAGGTTTCAAAGATCGTAATTTCAAATTAAAATAAACACTAATGTCACACACACACTCCCCTTACATTCTACTTTTAACACAGTTGTTCTCAAACTCAGTTATTCTCTGTAAATTTCCTCCCTTCCCCATCCGCCAGCGTTTTATATAGATTATGGGTTATTTTCTTTCTACTTCAAAAGCTGGATGCCTGCCCAGGATACTCTTACTGGCTCAGAAGTAAGCTGGAGAAATCGGCCACTGCTCTCAACTGGTCCAAATCAACCTGACCTACAGAGAAAAATGCCTTATTTGCAAGGGTCCCAGTTCCCCTTGCAGAGACACTCAGGCACACTCCCCCTCATCGCCAGGTGTTCCCTCCAAACCAGCGTACTTCCAATTTCACTTTCTTACGACGTGTGAAGTAACCTGTGTGCGCCACGGAGTCTCTCCTTGTCATCCCGGCTTTGTTTCTCGTTAAGATCTCTCGCACTCCAATCCAGAGCTACGCCAGCAAGCCACAGGTGTGCACCACATGAACAGATGAAAACCTGACTGTGAGCTGTGTAATGACAATTCGCTGCCTATAATACACTTGTCTTCTTTTGCGCATCATATGTTAGAAGGGGGAGTTATTTCAATTGTTCTCTTTAGGTTACATAGGTAAGCAAACAATTGTTTTGAGGATAAAAAAGGAAACCAAGAAAAGTAGACTTCGCAACAGCAGAAGATGAATGAGGAAGCACAAAAGGGATCACGAAAGGACAGGCAGGTAGTCTAATGCTATAAGAGGCCGCTGCTTCAAGAAGGTAATAGATTCAAATACCTTTTATTTTGCCTTTTATTCCATTTTGGTTTCAAATAGTAAGTCAAACCCTCTGAGGCACAGCAAAGTCCATATTAAGTTAAGCTGTAAGAGTGTTGGTCTCATCTCTAATCACTCATCCAAATTTCATAATCACTCATCGAAATTTCAATGTGATGCTTCTTGGCCATTTAAGACTTAATTTTTGAACATGTGGCAAACACATACATCCAGATGTAGGTACCTCACCCAGTCACCTTACTTCAAGTAAATGTCAAAATGGGAATGCCCAGAGATCTAATGATTGCTAATCACCACTGATCATTCTCTTTTATAAAGAGCTACGAAGCAGTTTTGCATTCTCTTCTTCACCAAGGTGAAAACTATACCATATCATTAAATCTGTAAGCTGTGTTATAGAGAGGATATGTTTGTTTTGGGTATAAGGCTACACTGATAGAACTGGAAAGTCAGTAATTTAGTACACAGCAGTGTCACAATGCTAAAGATGTGCCTGCACCCAGGTGGTACAGGCAGCCTGACCTGCCCCACGGTTAACAAGACAGAAAATGTGCTGTTCCCTCCCATTTATGAATATTTCAGTCATACAACCAGATCATCTGTACTTTATAAAGATGAAGTGAATTTTAGTCATATTAATTCCTTCTTTATAAAAAAAATGAAAAGTATTAGAAAACATGCATTTCTCCTAAGTTGTAGCAAATTTCCATTATCGTGCATGAGCTCTGACAGCAATAAACCACAATGAGCTTCCCATTAGTATGCCAGCACTGCATGCTTCAGGCATGAAATCTTTACTTTTACATTTATGTATTTTAAAAATCCTTTATGAAGACCCATATGGCAAAAGAAATCAACCAACAACCACCTGTATGGGGCACTTTGAAAAATAGACTGTAGACAGAAAAAAGGAGAATTAGTCAGAAGCTATACAATGTGAAATCAGCAAAATAAAAATGCAAGAAGAAACCCTGCTAAGATTATTCATTCTTTTCCAATGCTGCCTGTGTACAGGAAGGTCCCAGAGAAGCACTTACTTGTTTTAAACTGAGCTAGGGACTTGAATTAGAATGCAAATTCATTTTTAATAAGATTTAATTTTTTAAAAGTACGTTCACACTGGTGCACAAACCCTCTGCCCCGGCCCCTTGCCACGACGCCATGTGCAGAGCTTCCTGCTGCCTCTCTTAGCTGTGCTCCATCTCCTTTCCACATCCTACAGAAGGAGCAGCCTGGGCCACAGTGTCTCGGGTGGGGAGACCAGTGCTATGACCAAGGCTTAGTTGCCTTCAAAACTAACCAGAGCGTAGCCTAGAGTACTCAGACACTGTTCATTTTATTTTGGTACCATACTCTATCAAAGTTACGTCCAACACTGAGAAAGAAAGTATCAGTGTGGTTGAAAGCACTTAAAATCAGATTAATAGTTTGTTACCATCTAAACACATCATTTTAGGAGAAAAAAAAATGTAGTTACAGTAAAGACAGGAATGACAGTCATAGGTTATCTATAAATTTTGTTCTGCCATAGCAGATTTACTTTTCCATTACAGTAAAAATCTTTGAAAACAAGATGCAGAAATATCCATTCCCAGTATCATCTCAATCAAATTTACCACAGATTCTCAATGCAACGAGTTTACTTGTTGGAAAGGCTTCCACTAAATTACAAACACAACCATTCTGCCAATGTGATTACAACATTACAACTCTCCCTTAAACTGGTTGCAAATACTGTTCCAATTCACAGTTCAGGAAACTGCACTTACTATTTTTACAGCCCAGTCAAGTAATAATTTACATGCCAGATAAAAAGTACCTACGTCATCAAAAACACACAAAAAAACACAGTTAAAAATTTCACATATATGTATTTTTAAGCTAAGGAATATTTTAGAAAAGTCATCACTGAGGGATGTTATTGTTATTGCTGTACCCTTTCTCAGTGACACTAAAACGAAGACACCACCTTCATTGATTTAGGCAGACACTTTGGAAGCTAAAGGGAAAGATTTCTTTTTTAGTTACAGTTTACAAGGCAAGGTACAGTCATTAAAATAACTTCTAAAAGGTATGCACGTTACAAAATCAAATATTTTTCTGTTCCTTACCTTGACAAAATTCAAAGTTCCCTTTTTTCCGGCAGTCACCTATCACTAAACTCAGTGCTCTCCAAGTGTTTCTTTTGACAGATATCATTCTCCACCAATCGCTCTGCTAATTTCCTCTTTCCTTTTCTGACTGGGACAGATATTATGTTCACCAGCACAGAGATCAATCTTTTCTATTGACAACAACAAATGAAAAAAAAAAAAAAAAAGAAAGAAAGAAAAAAAAAAAGAAGCACATATCACAGCCAGTTTGAAGCACCACACCTCTTAATTTGCATGATAATAGCAGTCTTTTAAATAAAAAAGGAAGACAGAAACGCTATCATTCTAAATCAATTACCCACATTTTCTCAGTTAATACAAGGCAGTACTTTAAAACTGTATTAATTCTTCGACAAAGGCTGTTTCATAAGTTGCTCATTTAAAATAGTTGACATTTAGGAGGCAACAAAGTTAGGGCAGCCTGTATTCTACCATGAAGACACCATCGCCTAGTTCTGTAAACATTATTTGGTTTAAATACATTCATATAATATAAAATATTACATACTTTACCTGGTTTCAACAGAAGCTCTAGAGAATCATATTAAACAAGCATGGTTACTAAAAATAGAGACCATGCAATTACACATCGCTACACTAATTTGGATTTGTAAGTCACAACGGCAAACACATTTAAACAAAGGGAGATCAAAAAGCTATTGATATATTTACAAATCATCCTCCCACTTTTGAAACGGCAATTTCCCTCCCACTCCAACATCTACAAAAACTGTTTATTTGAGTTACACAAATACTTTGTCATTAGTGTGAGTCTGTATTACAACGTTGTCAGTTTTTCCAAGACATTCATATGCTTTTCAGGGGTTCGTAATTATGTCAAGGCAGAAAGATTTTCAGAGCCAGGCACACACAGTTACGTACATGCTTCAGTCTGCATCCACCATTCAGGTATTTCGGGACATAAAGTTAAGCATGCATAAGGATCTGGTCGCAGCTGCATGCATCTAACCGAGAAGCCAGCCCAACCCTCTCCTGGACTAGATCTTAATGCAAAAAAATGGATCGCCCAAAGGCATTTGCAAAAGATCACGTTTGTGTTCGTGCTAGAAACTGCAATCTTTCCCACAAACAAGCACCTTCCTCAAACCAAAACAAACCTTCCCAAGTTAAAGTTAAGGTTACAGAACAAAGGAGTTCACCACTCAAAGTCTTTTCTTTCCCGTGTTCGTGGTCAGACGTTTCCCCACTGCCTTGACACAAGCCAAAATCCTATTGATTTCAGTAAAAATGAGAGGCGTGTAAGGACTGCAGGACTCTACCCAGGATTTGGCAACTGTGAAGCTTTCAGTATGACACGACTGCCTTTGGCATTTGGAAAATAATTCCCAAAACATGGTTAGGACTCCTCAACTTGGGTGCAGTTAACTACTTTTCTAAAACGATTTTCAGTTTGTATGAAATTCTCTAGTTGTCACCATGTTCTTATATAGGCAATAAATTTACATTTCGTTTGTGCCTTATCCTGAATTGTTTATTTTTCAACTGTTCGGACTTTTGCATAACACTTTACATTTCCATAAATGCATGGAACATTCCCTAAACTGTTGTTATTGTTTGATCTGATCTTTATGGCCATAAACTCATGCCCCTACCAAAACTGAAAAATCCTTCACTGACCAAGTGGCCCTATAAATTTCAGTGAGATCATTTAAACATTGTTTTCTACCAAGTGACAGTAGCACAATCTGGTTGAAATATGGACTTACAGTGGATCATTAAATTAACATCATATTTTGGATTCAGAATTACACACAGCAGCCATCTGTAAAGATGTATTCATGTTTTGCTAACCTTTACTAATTCGGCCACTAGAAATAATGATCAAATATTTTACATGATTTAACATGTAACAATTCAGTATTTGTGTTTGCTGAATAGCATACTGGTTTTTCATGGCTAGTGAAAGACTTTTAAATCTCTTAAAAGTTCTTACTCAAAAAAAAAAAGTACCCATCTGTCATCCACTTTACAATGAAGACATCACTTTAACTTACTACTCTTCCTTTGTTTCAGCCCCTCATTCATTTTCTCTATATGCCACATTTTCCAAAGTGATGGATGCATTCTGCTATACTCATTCTACGCTAATCTCCTTTTTTAAATTTACTTTTGCTTTCCGATTTGTAAACTGCTGCTGTTGTTCAAATGCACAGACAAAATTGTCTAAAGTCTGAACTTGACTGAAAGTAGAATGCCTCAAACAATTTGTAGTCTTACAAGAGTGTTATAAAAAAGGATCAACATGTTGTATTACCATGGAAATTTCGAAAAACATACTTTCCCAAACAAATATTACTTTTTCTCAATGGTATGAAGTAATGAAAACCACATGTGTAACTCTGCGATCCGTGCAGTAGTTCAAGCTGCAGCTAATAGAAAATACAGAGAGTGAACTCTGCCATATAAAGGATTCTTGTTACAGAAATATAATGTGAAAACCAGATGCAGACAGAAAACCTTAATCACAGATGGGAATGTAATCACTGGCATACAAAATACTTTTTTGATCAATCTCAACCATATGAGAAATGTATTTATTTTCTAAGGAATGCAATAACTCCAGAGAGTCTTCTATTTGAATTCAGTTAACCTCATATTCACAGTGCTTTTATCTTATATGTGGAGAGAAGGGGGATATAACCTGAGCCAAGATTTTTAGAAGAGCCATTGGCCCTGGCAAATCATTCTTGTATCAGCTTATCTTTCAAGGAATTATTAGGATGTAAAGACTACAAATATCAGGATCAGCCTCAAAAGAAATCAACCATTATTGCACTTCCTAGTTACTGCCAGGAATCCGTTCATCACCTAAGCACTTCTCTGGTTAATTTTTTCCTTAGTATCTGGTTCTTCAGAAATACAAAGCTAAGAGCAGCTCACTGTTACACTGAAGTTCTGCAATCAGAACTGGAGTCCTACACCAAAGAATCTCCCTACTGCTTTAAAAAACGTGAAGAGTCATCAGTTCAAAACTTAAGTTTAATTTGGGCGTCCTAACTGCTGGAAGTGCTAGC